TAGTTGCTGTATGTGGGACGCGGCCTCAGCATGGCCGGAGAAGCAGCGCGCCGGTGTGAGCCCGGGATCCGAACCCGGGTCGCCAGCAGTGGAGCGCGCTCACTTAACCACCAAGCCACGGGGCCGGCCCTAGAATAGACTTTAGAAGCCATTTTGTACTCTCATTTTTCAGATGAGGACACTGTTACTAGAAGATTTAAAGTGACTTAGTAGTGGAGTCATGCTTAGAATTCAGTTTTCTTGAACAATTTATTAAACAATACATAATTGCAGAATGTCATACTGGTGTTTTAAATAGTTTGGTAATTACAGAAGCTCAGTAGGTCTTATAACTACACCTTAAAGAACAAGAACTACTAACTGGGTATTTTGTATAATTTTATTTATTTATTTATTTATTTATTTATTTATTTATTTATTTATTTATTTATTTATTTTCCCCAAAGCCCCTGTAGTTGTATGTCATAGTTGCACATCCTTCAGTTGCTGTATGTGGGACTCAGCCTCAGCATGGCCGGAGAAGCGGTGCGTCGGTGCGCGTCCGGGATCCGAACCCGGGCCGCCAGCAGCGGAGCGCGCACACCCAACTGCTAAGCCACGGGGCCGGCTGCTAACTGGGTATTTTGTATCACTGTTTTGGATTCCAGATGCTTTTTGAATTAAAGAGTTTTCGACACCTTGGGCTTCTTACTTTGCTAGCAGTATTCTAAAATTATCTGGAACTGCCATTTTTGGCAGTATTTCACATCCTTATTGCTAAATTTTACTGTCAAACTTTCCTATGTGTAGATTAACTGTTCTTTTATTTTGCTCCACATCTGCTAAATAGTTATTTCCCTTTTTTCTCCGCCTTTATCCTTGCCTTTTGCAGTTTACTGGTATTTTATGTCATGTAATTTCTACTTCCTTATTTTGGTAAGATTAGAAAAAAGATATTTCAGTTGGGAGTAAATGTCCTGTCCCTTCCCATTTCTGCTTACTTGCTCCTGTTCATCCTTCAAGCTTCGTCTTCTCCGAGAAGTCATCCCTGAACACCCGAGTTGGGAAAGTGTCCTCTGCTCTTTTCCCACTGCACATTGTGATGTTTTTAAACCCTTCCATGCAAATTATGGAGTACCTGCCACGTGCCAGATCTAGTTTCTCTTGTGAACAAGTGCATTCCTTGACCTGAAGGAACTTAGAGTTGAGATGGGGAGGCAGAAAAATGCAGTATGATTGAATACCTTTTTTTAAAGCTAATATGTGAGTATTTATTATGTAGCAGGCATTGAGATAAGCAGTTTACATGCATTATTTCATGTCATTCTCTCAATAACCTTATGATCCCCATTTTACAGAGAAGGAAGAGAAATTTAGAGAACTTCTGTGTTTTGCCCGAAGTCAGTTAAGTCTCAGAATTGCCATCCAAATCCAGGTCCAGTCCCACGCTCTTAACCACTACGCCTTTTGTACTAACTGCTGCCTCTTTGCAGGTCAGAGCACTTTTCCCTGTGTATCTCCAGTGCCCTCATGCACGAGGCACAGGGAGATGAGTGCCAGTGTTGGAGTTCAGAAACTAATAGTGTCTTTACAGTTGGACAGCCACTTTAACTGATTCAGTATCTTCCCTAAGAGACTTCAGAAGAATTTATTATACTAACACATGTAAAACAATGTATATCTAAAGGCGTTCATCGCAATGTTGCTTATTTTAAGGAAAGATTAGAAATAACCTGAATGTTTATCAACACAAGATTGATTAAATAAGTTATGATATATTCATACAATGAAATGATGCAGCTGTAATAAAGAATGAGGAAATGACATATGGATAGGGAACAATGTAAAAGGTGTATTATGTAGAATAAACAAGATTTAGAACAGATGCTACTTTGTATAGAATCAATAATATGTTGCTATTTGTGGTTGGAGAGGCAGAGAGTATATATATTTTTATTTATATGTGCATAAAGTATCTTTGGAAGAGTAGACAAGAAATTGATAATACAGGTTGCTTCTGAAGAGTGGCTAAGGGATTCCAGGTAGGGAGATTGTCCACTGTATAACTTTTTGCCTTTTGAATTTTGAGCCAACTGAATCTACTAACTATTAAAAAAGATATAAGTAAAATTAAAATAAAAGAAATAATAAACACCTTTCTGGAAATGAAAACAAATACAGAAAGGCACTGTGGGCTGTGTAAGTTCCCTGAGTGCATGGGGTGAGCCTGCCTTGATCCTTGCCGTGTCCCACTGCCTGGCATAGTATGCACTTGAGTGTTTGTGCAACCAATGAATCAAGTTAAAAAAAAATCTCCAATTCCTGTGTAGGAAGGGCACAACATTTCTTTTGTGGTATTCCTGCTAAAAATACGTATCCTGAATCTAACTGTGAAGAAACATCAGACAAACTCAAATTGAGGAACATTCTGAAAAATAAATGGCCTGTGCATTTCAAAAATGTCAAGGTCATGGAAGACTAAGAAAGACTGGGGACTGTTCCAGGTCCAAGGGAACTGAAGAGACATGACAGCTAATGCACGGTGTGTGATGCCAGATTGCATCCCGGGCCAGAAAAATAGTTGTTTCTTTTTCTATAAAGGACATTAATTAGACAATTGGCAAAATTTGAGTAAGGTCTGTAAATTAGGTATTAGTATTGTTTCAATGTTAACTTCCTGATTTTGATAATAGTACTGTGGTTATGTGACAAAATGTCCTGTTTTTAGGAATAGGCACTTAAGAATTTAGTAGTAAAGGGGCATTGTCTGCAACTTGCTCTCCAATGATTCAGACAAAAAGAGAGAGAGAAAGAATGATAAAGTAACCATGGTGAAATGTTAACTTTTGAGGAATCTGAGTGAAGAAATACATGAATTCTTTGTACTATTTTTGTGGCTTTTCTATCTGAAATTATTTCAAAATAAAAAATTTTAAAAAATGCTTCCTATATGGGACATTTTATGATTTTGTAATACTAAGCCTTCTATGTCCTTTTGTACAATTTTGTGGGTTTCTTCATATAGAACTTTATATTTTTAGTGACATTTATTCCTAGGTTTCTTAATATTCTTGTTTGTTTTAAAAAATATAACAGCTTTGTTGAGGTATAATTCACATACTATACAGCTCACCCTGAATATTTTTTTTTGTTTTTGTTTAAATAGTACTGTTATACAAGGAAGGTGTGCTTTTTAAAAAAAATCAACTTTATTAGGGTATAGTTTACACATGATAAAATTCACGTATTTTAATTGAATAGGTTGATGATTTTTGACACCTATATTCCCCATGTAACCACCACCCCAGTCCAAGTACAAGATATAGATAGAACATTTCCATTTCTCCAGAAGGTTCCCCCATGCCCCTTTGTTTATATTCCGCTATTGATAGACATGGGCGTTGTTTCCAGTGCCCTCTGATGGAGGGAAGAAGGGGAGGGAGTCTGCAGGTGAGTGTGTGTGTGCGGGGGAGTGGTTTCTGGGGGGGGTGAGGGTGGTAGTATGGAGGCGAGGCAGGAACAGGCTCCTCCATGGCTCAGAAGAGGCTCGCACATAGTCTGGACATGGCAGCTCCTGTGTTCCAGAGTAAAGCCCAGACATTGGGTGTTCCACTATCTTTTCTTTCTTTCTTCTTTGGGTCTTATTCTCTTTCAGAGGTTGGAGTATGTGTAGTCTAAGAAATTGCTTCTCAGCTTATCCCCATTACTAATGGAGAAAATTCTGGCTGGATCTTGGCCAGTGGTCTTTCTTACCTTTAGTTTAGTGGTGTTCTGAGCGGTTGTACCTTTTCTGTCTCTGTGTGCCACTTTAATGGGACGGTGGGTGGAGGTTTGTCAGGCATGCTGCCCTGCTGCCCTATTAAACAGTAGGTCTCATGTGACTTGTTAAGATGTCAACATTTTATCGTTATCAGAAGGAAAGATTGGTTACCTTAAAAATACTATTTTGGAAAAGAATAAGGTTTTAGGATGTAGATTTCCTGCACGTGGATGCTTACTGAGGCTTTTCAGTTGTTCACCAATCACTCATGTACTGACCAAAGGGAAACAAGGGTTATATTTGTATTCACCAAATTGTGGTCCAGAAAATTCAGCTCCCTCCACCTGCCATTTTTCCTGGTTTTGTGACTTTTATTATTCTGCTGTTCATTTCAAGTAGGTGGTACAGAAAGTTAGTGTCTAAGCGGATGTGTAGAGAGAGATGAGCTGGGGCTGTGCAGCAATCAGACTGGGGTGTGAACCCATCACTTACCTGCACTTAGCATCTGGGAACCTCATTCTCCTCATGAAGAGAACTATGAGTACTACCTTCAGGATTTCTGATGAGGGTTACATATACCTACCGTGTGCTAGAACATAGCAAGCCTGCAATACATTGTGTTATTACTACAACTAATTTCTCCATTTTTACCTTTTTGCCCAGGTGTGTTATTTTTTTTCTCTCTGTGGTTGAAACTGTAATTTTTTAAAAATCTTGGTTCCTTTTCTCTCTTTTTTCAGGCGCATTGCAGAGAGGTCTTTTTGTCCTTCATGAACACTCACGTGGTAGATAGATGACTGTCCTCCACCCTGCCCTGCCCTAGGTGCCCTGGACGTGGAGCTGTCCAGTAGGGAAAGGATGGATTCCAAAGATGAAAGCTCACACGTGTGGCCTACGTCTGCAGAACATGAAGAGAATGCTGCACAGGTGAAGAGTCGTCTTTCCAGCTTGGTATTGACAGCAGTGTTTTAGTTGGATACAGTTTGCTGACAGCTAAAGAAATAGCAGCTTCTGTACAGTAATGAGGGGTTGGGAGGGAGCTGACATGCAGACCTTGTCAAGGAACAGGCAGTATTTCAGCACTTTGAATGCTCCCTCAGTACCGTTCAGTGAGATTTAGAAGAGCTGAACTACCACTCACAGGCTTCTCTTCTCTTTCCTCCAACTTATTGTCATAATCTGTTTCACTACCCTGTTATATTTTATGTTATTGGTACTTGAAAGCCTCAAATTGTAGTGTGTTTCTTTTATGTTATCCAGTATGGGGTTTTGATTCTTCATGTGTAATGAAGTACAAGGTATGTCTATAAAGTGAGTGGCTTTTTCTTTTCTTTTCAAATTCAGAACGTAAACCTCTAATTGAAAGTTGTCCCATTGATGAATCAGCAGCTCTGGAGGTTAGTCACTTATTCAGATGCTGCTGTAATTGATGACCTCTGCCTTTTGAATTGCTGTCATACCAGCTACACATTCTTTTGACTATTCTTAGCAAAGGCACATCTCTGCATTTTTGGTGTAAATTTGAATTTGGCAAAGATTCAGCAGTAATGTGGAGCCATGTTTTCCTATGTGACCAAAGTATTTTACAAAAATACTTTATAAAGCATTTTACGAAATTCAAAGTATGAAAGTTAATTTTTAAGCATTATAATAAATATGTAATTTAAATTTAATTTTTCATTAAATTATATAACCACAGTATTATTATCAAAATCAGGATGTTAACATTGAAACATTTAAATATACACATTTTATTTAATTTAAGCAGTATAATAAATATTACAATAAATGAAGTTGATCATCTGGTATAATTTAAAAGTCTGAGTCTGAATACTTAAAAAAAAGTTCTAGAGGTGCTCCCAGCAGAATCCTTGAGAGCGTTGTTTTGTTCTCATGGAAACCATTTTGAAAGCTACTTTCATGTAGCTATATATTTTGGTATATTTTGTTTGTAAATAAAAAGAACAAAGTAAAAGAAAATATGTTTATGGCACTCTGTGTGATCAGGGTCCCCATTTGTGGGCAACCAGACAGTAGACCGCAGAGCTCAGCACCCCTCATTGTACCCCATCCTCCTCTCGTTCCTTCTCCCTGCTAGGAATTCTGATTTAGCAGAATAGTGAGTGATGGAGACCAAGTTTTTAAGCTTGGTTAACTTTTCATTTGAGGAAACGTTTTTTGCCTTTTTTAAGCACTGAAACTAGTCTAAGGTTTTGATGTTAATGAACAAATCTAAAGTCACAAAATTATCTTGCAGCACTTAAAACTTCGCAAATATGTTATAAGCCTGATTCTTCCAATATACAAACTATATCTTCATGGACAAATCAAATTTATGTAGAAGCTGGACTCGTCACTTAGTGTAGAAGGGGGGTTGTTTTGTTTCTGTTGCTTGATTGCATTTGGTCTCCAAGTTTCTTTCTGGGAATTAAATTAGCTTTGGGATCTACTATTCTCCACGGGAGAAAACTGAATAAAAAAGGTCCAAAGCCAACACAGTATAAGAGTAAGGGTTCCAACCCAAGAGTGCTCAACTTTGGTATCAGCACATAAATTATTTCTCTCCAAACATGTGCGTCAGCCCTCTGCTACCACACCTTCTGTAGCATATCAGGCTTCAGGCTGCGTGACAAAGTCGAGCCTTCAGGAGTTCAAACCTCCAAAGCTGACGACTCAGGAAGCGTTTTACAGAATTCAGTTTCTGCTTTAGTTCTTGGTAGACAGAAAATTATTTAGCCTAGTGACAACTGAAATAGTTGTCCAAAACCCCTGAAAAGTACTTTCTTAGAATTTTGTGTATCTTTACCTAGCTGGCAAGGAATTCTGTTACGTTCATTGATTCAGCAAACATTTACTGATAAGCCTCCAGTGCAGCTTTGGAGTATGAAAGAACTTGCAGGAAAGAAAGTGATCCTGTTTTAATGTGTTTGCTGAAAGGCACTGTTAGTTATAAAGTGAATTTTTATGATGTGTCGAGAGCAATTGGCTTTCGAGTCTTGACGTATTTTTTCACATTACAGAATAATTTGTATTTTGTAATTTAGTAATGTTGTCAACCAGAAATCTTCAGTCACACTTCCAGGATCAGTTAACCACCCCCTCATTACTCCCCAAAAGAGATATCTGCATTGGACATTTGAGGCAAAGGGGAATTTAAATCAGTTGCCTGATGTTGAGCAGTGAATCACTGACAAGGTCCTTGGATCCTGTTTCCGAGTTGCTAACTCAGTGAAGATGAAGATGTGTCAGTCCTCATTCTCCTTTCACTGGGGACATTTTAGAACTTTGAATGTGTACTGTGCTCAGTTGGCCGCCTAGCTTTGTGAGATTTGCTTTGTTCCATGAGGATAGTCGCTACATACTTGCTGCTTTTTGCCCCAGGTACACTTTGTTCCAGACGCTGCAACTGTGGCTCAGATCGTCTACACCGATGACCAGGTTCGCCCTCCCCAGCAGGTGGTGTACACGGCAGATGGTGCCTCCTACACGTCAGTGGATGGCCCGGAGCATACGCTGGTGTACATCCATCCTGTGGAAGCTGCGCAGGCATGTGAAGGGTTGTTGTGTATAGTTTGTGTATTAACCAATTAATTCACCAATTACTTATGTTTATTCTCTGCTGGTCACCGTGCAAGGGGCTGGTGATGCAGGAAATATTCAGGTAAGATGTGTGCTCTCAAGGGGTTTGCAACTGACTTGGCAGAGGAAGATATGGTTTATTTATTTAAATTAAATGTAAGAAGGAGTTAGATCACTAGCCTCCTATCAGTTCTTCTCCCCTGTGACCACTGACAAAATTATCAACTTGTTACTTTTCCTAAGTGTCAAGAACCAGGACAAAAATGGCATTTGGTTCTGTATAGCTTATTCAAAGATGGGTCAGCAAAAATATACAGATTGTTTCAGTTACATGTGTAAGCAAAGGGTCCTACCAGCTTGTTAACTCTATTTATTAATAATTTATTGATTTGTAGGACTGTAATAGAGATGAAGGTAAAAGCTGTACAACTATAGCTACTTTTATTCTTTTGTCAGTGACTTGGAGTGTTAGTTTCCAAATGCATGATACACACGTTCCCCAACATATAAATGTTAGTTTCTACTTTTTATTTTACAATGTACAAAGCACTTTTAAACATATTAAAAAAAATTCCATGCTTTTTTTGTGTGTGAGGAAGATTGGTCCTGAGCTAATGTCTGTTGCCAATCCTCCTCTTTTTGCTGAGGAAGACTGGCCCTGAGCTAACATCTGTGCCCATCTTCCTCTATCTTGTATGTGGGATGCCACTACAGCATGGCTTGATGAGCAGTGCCTCAGTCTGTGTCCAGGATTTGAACCTGTGAACTCTGCGCCACCAAAGCGGAGTGTGTGAACTTAACCACTGTGCCACCAGGCTGGCCCCAAAAGTTCCATACTTTTGTAGTAGGACCCTGGTAATAAAAATTTGCCCTCATGCAATATTTAATCAAGAGGCTCAAATCACTTCCAAGAAGAAATGGGACCCACCTAATTAATACCTTTCAAATCTGTATAAAGGTGAAATTGCCAAATAGTCAGATGGTACTTTTTGAATGCCTCTGCTTCGTTTTAGTGCCCAAACTATATTAAAATAAGATCACATAGTTTATGTAAAGAATGTCCTGTGCCCAACTTTTAGTTTATTACTATGTTACTAAATTTCTGAATTATATTTTTTTAATGTCAAATCTAAGAAATCTGACACTGGCTGAAATTCTCTTTCACATTCCCCTGGAATCAAAACGTAACTATAGTTGGGCAAATTAATCTTTTAAAAGCTTTAGAGGAAAGAATATTTTTCTGGATTGGAGATTTTCTGTGCTGCCCTGGCTAAAATTATTTTGAAGATTTTCCTTCTCTGGTTAGCTTTGCTGCATTGTGACCCAAATTATTGTGTGTTTATAATGAGAACTTTTTAAAAATTATGATTTTACTGGCTTTATCCAAAAGAGAATCTATGGAACATTAAGTTCAATTTATTTTCTTTCTACTTCTCTTCTGATAATGAATGTGCGTTTGTATTTGAAAGAGTTGTAATCCTTGCATATATAATACTCTTCTGTATGTCTGTATGTCTCTGTCCGTTTTCATTTAATCGCAGGTCTGCTCCTGTGATAGGCAGTGTTATGTGTGAACGTATGCACTCTTGTTCACGGCATGTCTTTTACCTTTTCATGGCATGCCTTTTAAGTAGCTGTGACGTTCAACCTCAAGAGAGGCCTTGCTTAGGAGTAAGATCATGAAGTATGTTACCCAATCGAGGTGGTTAGCTTATACAATCTCCTTGGAGCCATCTGAATGAAAGGCTTTAGCTAAATGTAAGATTACTATCTTTGTCTTCTTTATTAATGAAGGAGTATTACTAGCTATATGGGAGTTAACTCTCGCAAGAATTGGTGTTTAGCAGTAGGATAATTTTTCCTGTGTAGGCGAGCTGTCTAAAGATCTATTGATGAGTTGTTTTTTTTTTTTTTTTTTGGTCTAGACTCTCTTTACAGACCCAGGCCAGGTAGCTTATGTCCAACAGGATGCTACAGCTCAGCAGGTAACGCGTTGCCTTTTTGCTGTTTGGGGATAATACTATGAATGTTACCGTTCCCTGGAATGTGGCCCCCCCAACCCTCTGCACTGTGCATTCTCTAGACGTCTGTTTCTCATATATTAAGAATGTTCTCCACTTCCTTTAATGAAAACAAAGCAAAACATAACAGTAACACACTCCAATCAGTATATATTGGAATAGCCTGGCCATAAAAAAGTGATTTGTCAGGGAAATTTAAAAAATAAGCATATCAACTGGATGTTGGTTCAAGTTCCAAAGAATAATCCTGAGTTTTAGAAGTGTCTCTTTTTGGAAATTTGGAAACATTTTAGTACTTGTTCTATTTTGAAATATTGAGAAAAAATTCCTGCTTAAATAACATATAAATTTGGTGGCAAATTTCCTCATTCTAGTTTCTGAAAAATTGAGATTCTTTTTGGTTTTCTTTTAAAACCTTTCCTTTTATCCATGTTTCTAATGTATCCTATTTGACTTTGAGCGACTTTCTTATTTTCTTCCAGGTTGTGAAATGATAAGGTATGAAAGCTAGATACTGTCAGTCTTACTCTGAATTGAATATGAATCCAAATAGTTTTATTTTCATGTTGGCTAGTATGACTCTTATTTAGCTGAGCCACTGAGTGTCATGAGTCATTATCAAGTAAATTCTCATTAGTAAGCACTTTCTGCCTTTCAAATTTTTTAGTAGATGATTTGGATACTTCCATTTTAAATTTGAAAAATAAACAGTAGTTGTATTAATATTATTTGTGAAATCTAGAGAGAATTTTTAGGAGTCTTTATCTTATCAGTTATGGTTGAATTTATTCTTGATTGGTAGTGATCTACAATTTTGTGAGGTCTGTGAACTTGAATGAGAGTTTGTCTTAATCCATTTAGGCTGCTATAACAGAATACCACAGACTGTGTGGCTTATAAACCACAGATTTATTTCTCACAGTTCTGGAGGCTGGAAGGCCAAGATCAAGGTGCTGGCGGATTCTGTGTCCGGTGAGGGCCCACTTCCTGGTTCCTGGAGGGCCATCTTCTGGCTGTGTCCTTACGTTGCAGAAGGGGAATGGGGGTCTCTGGGGTCTCTTTTATGCAGGCGCTAATCCTGTCTGTGAGGGCTCCACCCTCATGACCTAATCGCCTCTCAGAGGCCCCACCTCCTAACCATCACATTGGGGATTATGTTTTAATATATATATTTTGAGGAGACACAAACATTTAGTCTGTAGCACTTATTTTATTTTAATAATTTTGTAATAATTAGGTATTCTTGACAAAACAAACCATGTCCATTTCTGTGAATATTTATTGATTCCATCAGGGAAGCAATGGATAGATTTAATTAGTTTTTGCAAGTTGGCAGGAAAAAATAAAATGAAATGCCTTTGACTGTCTTTCATAGATGATTAATTTCATTCACTCATTTTTGGAGTGATGATTTTTTTCTCAAAAAAAGTTGAAGGAGGGTCCGGCCTGGTGGCGTAGTGGTTAAGTTTGTGCGCTCTGCTTCAGCAGCCTGGGGTTAGCAGGTTCGGATCTAGGGCTCCGACCTATGCACTGCTCATTAAGCCATGCTGTGGCAGCATCCCACATGAAAAAATAGAGGAAGATGGGCACAGGTGTTAGCCCAGGGCCAATCTTCCTCAAGCAAAAAGAGGAGGATTGGCAACAGATGTTAGCTCAGAGCTAATCTTCCTCACTAAAAAAAAAAAAAAAAAAAAAAATTTGAAGCAATACCAAAAAGAAGTACATTAAAAAAACCCAAACAAACAATTCTGTCCAGAAACATCCTCATTAACTTGACAGTTGGTAACTATTATTCCAGACATCCTTCCAGACATACAAAGATAAACAAGCAAGGGGAAAAATGGCATTGTGCCCTAAATGCTATTATTAATTTAAATACTTTAAACTTAAATTTACTTGAGTTTAGCAGAGGAAAAAGAAATTGAGGTGAAACTGAAAGAGGTTGGAGTCATCGTGTTTTCCTAAACTGCACTTGAGCTTCAGTGGGTCTGCCCTTAACTCCCGGTGTGATGACATGGGCGTCAGCACATCGCCATTTCCTCCCACTTTCCTCTCCGCTGTTCATGTTAGCTGCATTATTATTAGAGCTAATGTAGTTATGTTCTGTTCAGTAACTACAATTATTTAGAATTTTGCTCCATTCTCTACTGGCATTTAATCTGTAGAAATCTTGAGTCTAATTTTGATTATTTTCCTCATTCCTTTTGTATCTTAATGCCTGTTTGATTCTTTCTCTATACTTGAAGTTTTTCTTTGCAGTCTAATGACTTCACCAGCATATGGATCAGAATTTCCTAGGACAGGGTGTGTCCTTTTGATGTATAGGTTAAGACTTGATTTCAGAAACATTTTCATCTATTAGGACTTTGAAAATATTTTCAGTTTCATTTGATATGTTCACTTTTCAGGAACGTTGGTCTGAGTATATTGACTCTTCTTTGCATGCCGTATCTAACATGTTCTTTATAATCATTTTTATATCTGCTCTTTTCTAAGTATTTGTGTAATTTCCTTTATATCTACCATATTTCCTTACTGTGGTATTTCTTTTTTTTTTACTTTTTAATTACATTATTACATACTATAGAAAAGTGCAAACATTTGTAAGCATATAACGCAATGATATATCATGAGGTGAGCACACCCTAAACCAATGCTCAGATTAGACAAAAGAACATTGCCAGCTCCTAAAAGCCATCCTGATGCTCCGTCCTAATCACTTCTCCCTGTCTCCTCAAAGGTAACTCCTCTCCTGCCTGCTAACACCATAGATTCGTTTTCCATGGTTTTCAACTTGATGTAAATGGAATTACCTAGTATAGTTTCCTTTTGTCTGACTTCTGTTGTTCAACGTTATGCTTGGGAAATTTATTCATGTTGTTGGTTGTAGCTGTGGGTTTTTTTTTCTTCTATTTTGATTGCTCTATGGTATTCAGTTTTATGAATATACCAAATATACCCAGGAGTGTGATCCGTTCTCCACTGGTTTGTCTTCAAGAGTTTCTTGGCCCTTTGCTTTTCCATGTACATTTTAGAATCAACTTGAAAGTTTCCACCAAAGTCCTGCAGGATTTTCACTGGAATTTCATTGTATCTGTGGATCCGTTTGTGAAGAATTAACATCTTTATAATATTGAGTCTTACAATCTGTGAACATGATATATCCCTGAGTTTAAAATAAAAGTTAAAGATTGTCCTCTGGGTAGAGGTCTTACACATCTCTCAATAGATTTATTCCTAGATAGTTGGTGTGTTTTGATGGTATTATAAATGGTATAATTTAAAAAATTTTTATTATCTAACTTTTATTTTTGATTTTCTTGATAGTCATGTTGTCTGTGAATAGTGACAGTTTTCTTTCTTTCCAATCCTTCGCAATTCTTCTATCTTTTATTTTTATTTCTTTTTTTCTTCCCCCCTTGTCTGCTGGCTGGGATCTCTAATACATTTTCGAATAGAAGTGGTGCTAGTAGGTTTCCTTTTTTTCCTTCTCGCTTTCAGAGGAAAAACTTTCGCTATTAAGAATGATGTTTAGGGCCGGCCCCGTGGCTTAGCAGTTGGGTGTGCGCGCTCCGCTACTGGCCACCCGGGGTTAGGATCCCGGGCGCGCACTGACGCACCG